TCCATTTGTTTGTGTCCTCTCTTATTTCCTTGAGCAGTGGTTTGTAGTTCTCCTTGACCTTCACATCCCTTGTAAGTTGTATTCCTGAGTATTTTATTCCCTTGGTAGCAATTGTGAATGGGAGTTCACTCATGATTTGGCTCTCTCTGTTTGTCTATTATTGGTGTGTAAGAATGCTTGTGATTTTTGCACACTGATTTTGTATCCTGAGACTTTACTGAAGTTTCTTATCAGCTTAAGGAAATGTTGAGCTGAGACGATGGGGTTTTCTAAATATACAATCATGTCATATGCAAACACAGAGAATTTGACTTCCTCTCTCCCTATTTGAATACCCTTTATTTATTTCTCTTTCCTGATTGCCCTGGCCAGAGCTTCCAATACTATGTTGAATAGGAGTGGCGAGAGAGGGCATCCTTGTCTTGTGCCAGTTTTCAGAAGGAATGCTTCCAGCTTTTGCCCATTCAGTATGATACTGGCTGTGGGTTTGTCATAAATAGATCTTATTATTTTGAGATACGTTCCATCAATACCTAGTTTATTGAGAGTTTTTAGCGTGAAGGGGTGTTGAATTTTATCAAAAGCCTTCTCTGCATCTATTGAGATAATCATGTGTTTTTTGTCATTGGTTCTGTTTATATGATGGATTACATTTATTGATTTGTGCATGTTGAACCAGCCTTGCATCCCAGGGACGAAGCTGACTTGATTGTGGTGGATAAGCTTTTTGATGTGCTGCTGGATTCGGTTTGCCAGTATTTTATTGAGGATTTTCACATCATTCTTCATCGGGGATATTGGCCTAAAATTTTCTTTTTTGTGTGTATGTCTCTGCCAGGTTTTGGTATCAGGATGATGCTGGCTTCCTAAAATGAGTTAGGGAGGAGACCCTCTTTTTCTGTTGTTTGGAATAGTTTCAAAAGGAGCGGTACCAGCTCCTCTTTTTACCTCTTGGAGAATCCGGCTGTGAATTTGTCTGGTTCTGGGCTTTTTTTGGTTGGCCTCAATTTCAGAGCTTGTTATTGGTCTGTTCAGGGATTCAACTTCTTCCTGGTTTAGTCTTGGGAGGGTGTATGTGTCCAGAAATGTATTCATTTCTTCTAGATTTTCTAGTTTATTTGCATAGAAGTGATTAGAGTATTCTCCAATGGTAGTTTGTTTTTCTGTGGGATTAGTGGTGATATACTCTTTTTCATTTTTTATTGTGTCTATTTGATTCTTCTCTTTTTTCTTCTTTACTAGTCTTGCTAGTGGTCTATCCGTTTTGTTAATCTTTTCAAAAAATCAGATCCTGGATTCATTGATTATTTTTTGAAGGGTTTTTTTGTGTCTCTATCTCCTTCAGTTCGGTTCTGATCTTAGGTATTTCTTGTCTTCTGCTAGCTTTAGAATTTTTTGCTCTTGCTTGTCTAGTTCTTTAATTGTGATGTTAGGGTGTCGATTTTAGTTTGTTTCCACTTTCTCCTATGGGCCCTTAGTGCTATAAATTTTCCTCAAAACACTGCTTTAGCAGTGTCCCAGAGATTCTGGTACATTGTATCTTTGTTCTCATTAGTTTCAAAGAACTTATTTATTTCTGACTTAATTTCATTATTTACCCAGTTGTCATTCAGGAGCAGGTTGTTCAGTTTCCATTTAGTTGTGTAGTTTTGAGTGAGTTTCTTAATCCTGAGTTCTCATTTGATTGCACTATGGTCTGAGAGACTGTTATGATTTTCATTTTTTGCATTTTCTGAGGAAAGTTTTACTTCCAATTATGTGGCCAATTTTAGAATAGGTGCAATTTAGTGCTGAGAAGAATGTGTATTTTGTTGATTTGGAGTGGAGAGTTCTGTAGATGTCTATTAGGTCCCCTTGGTCCAGAGCTGAGTTCAAGTCTTGAATATCCTTGTTAATTTTCTGTCTCATTGTGCTGTCTAATATTGACAGCAGGGTGTTAAAGCCTCCCACTATTATTGTGTGGGAGTCTAAGTCTCTTTGTGGGTCTCTAAGAACTTCCTTTATGAATCTAGGTGCTCCCTCTATTGGGTACATATATATTTAGGATAGTTAATATAATTAATATAATATAATTAGTTCCTCTTGCTGCATTGATTCCTTCACCGTTATTTAATGCCCTTCTTTGTCTTTTTTGATCTTTGTTGGTTTAAAGTCTGTTTTATCAGAGACTAGGATGGCAACCTCTGCTTTTTTTTTTTTTTTTTTTTTTTTTTTTTTTTNTTTTTGCTTTCCATTTGCTTGGTAAATATTCCTTCATCCTTTTGTTTTGAGTCTATATATGTCTTTGCACCTGAGATGGGTCTCCTGAATATTGCACACCAATGGGTCTTGCCTCTTTATCCAGTTTGCCAGTCTGTGTCTTTTAATTGGGGCATTTAACCTGTTTACATTTAAGGTTAATATTGTTATATGTGAATTTTATCCTGTCATTATGATGCTAGCTGGTTATTTTGCCCATTAGTTGAGGCAGTTTCTTCACAGTATCAATGGTCTTTACAATTTGGTGTGGTTTTGCTGTGGCTGGCACCAGTTTTTCCTTTCCATATTAGTGCTTCCTTCAGGAGCTCTTGTAAGGCAGGCCTGGTGGTGACAAAATCTCTCAGCATTTGCTTGTCTGTAAAGGATTTGATTTCTTTTTTGCTTATGAAGCTTAGTTTGGTTGGATATGAAATTCTGAGTTGAAAATTCTTTTCTTTAAGAATGTTAAATATTGGCCCCCACTCTCTTCTGGCTTGTAGTGTTTCTGCAGAGAGATCTGCTGTTAGTCTGATGGGTTTTCCTTTGTGAGTAACCTGACCTTTTCTCTGGTTGCCCTTAACATTTTTTCCTTCATTTCAACCTTGGTGAATCTGATGATTGTGTTTCTTTTGGTTGCTCCTCTCAAGGAATATCTTTGTGGTGTTCTCTGTATTTCCTGAATTCGAATGTTGGCCTGTCTTGCTAGATTGGAGTTCTCCTGGATAATATCCTGAAGAGTGTTTTCCAATTTGGTTTCATTCTCCCCATCACGTTTAGGTACACCAGCCAGCTGTAGGTTTGGTCTTTTCACATAGTCCTATATTTCTTAGAGGCTTTGTTTGTTCCTTTTCATTCTTTTTTCTCTAATTTTGTCTTCTTCATCCTTTTTTCTCTAATATTGTCTTCATGCTTTATGTCATTAAGTTGATCTTCAATCTCTGATATCTTTTCTTCTGCTTGATGGATTTGGCTATTGATACTTGGGTATGCGTCACAAAGTTCTTGTGCTGTGTTTTTTCAGCTGCATCGAGTCATTTATGTTCTCTAAACTGGTTATTCTAGTTAACAATTCCTCTAGGAATTTTTTCAAGGTTCTTAGCTTATTTGCATTGGGTTAGAACATGCTCCTTTTGCTCAGAGAACTTTGTTATTACCCACCTTCTGAAGCCTACTTCTGTCAATTCATCAAACTCATTCTCCTTCCAGTTTTGTTCCCTTGCTGATGAGAGTTGTGATCCTTTGGAGGAGAAGGGGCATTCTGGTATTTGGAATTTTCAGGCTTTTTGTGCTGGTTTTTCCTCATCTTCATGGATTTCTCTACCTTTGGTCTTCGACGTTGGTGACCTTCGGATGGGGTTTCTGGGTGGACATTCTTTTCGTTGATGTCGATGCTGTTCCTTTCTGTTTGTTAGTTTTCCTTCTAACAGTCAGGCCCCTCTGCTGCTAGTCTGGTGGAGTTTGCTGGAGGTTCACTCCAGACCCTGTTTGCCTGGGTATCACCCGTGGAGATTCAGTTGAAAATGCAAAAATCACCTGCCTTCTGCATTGATCTCGCTGGGAACTTCAGACTGGAGCTATTCCTGGGAACTTCAGACTATTCCTGGGAACTTCAAACTATTCCTTCTTGGCCATCTTGCAAGCCACCTATCTGTACCACATTTTCTTTTTTCAATCTACCATTGACGGACATTTGGGTTGATTCCATGTTTTTGCAATTGTGAATTATACTGCAATGAACATAAGAATGCATATATCTTTATAATAGAATGATTTATACTTCTTTGGGTATATACCCTGTGATGGGATTGCTGAGTCAAATGGTATTTCTGCTTCCAGATCTTTCTGGAATTACCACACTGTCTTCCATGATGGTTGAACTAATGTACCCTCCCACCGATAGTGTAAAGCATTCTTTTTTCTCTGCAGCCTTGCCAGCATCTGTTATTTCCTGACTTTTTAGTAATCATCATTCTGAGTGGCATGAGATAGTATCTCATTGTGGTTTTGATTTGCATTTCTCTAATGATCAGTGATGTTGAGCTTTCTTTCATGTTTGTTGGCTGCATGAATGTCCTCTTTTGAGAAGTGTCTGTTCATGTCATTTGCCCATTTTTTAATGGGGTTGTTTATTTCTTGTAAATTTGTTTAAGCTTAAGGAAACAATTCAAAGTGTTTGCAAGAACTGATGGATTTTGAATTAGTTATAACCTTTGAGGGAAAAAAAAGAGAAAAAAATCTTAATGTCACTTAGGACAACTCACAACTCAATGGAGAAGCCATAACACAGTGGCCAATTTCATAATTAAAATGCTCAGTCTGATTCAGGAAGGGAGAAAGAAGATGGAAATGATTTTAATATCAGCATGAGAAGTCTATTGAGGGGGGGACCCCAATCATCTCCTCCCAAAGATACCAGGACCCTAAACCAAAAGGGAAGAGAGTCAAGTCCCAAGTTTGTCAATAGCAGCAGGTTCAAAGAGTTTCCCCTTTTTGGAAAACTGAGAAATAACAGCTGGGAGCAGAGTGAGGGGAACTCAGATCAGGAGCTCCCATTTATCTTATTCCATTGGGCAGAAGCCAACAGTCACTCAGCATGAAAAGCTTAAAATTTAAGGCAGAAAAAGGAAAGTTGCTTTTTCTGGGCTATGTCTAATTAACCCTTGGAGCAACATGGCAATTTTGTTTTACTGCAATTTCTCGCTTAGGAAGACTCAAAAATAAAGATTAAATATGGGGTGTTCATGAGTGGTTATTCTTACCAGGATGTAACAGCAGAGGCCATCAATCCTCCTGCCCAAAGGAGCCAACTGGGGCCAACCAGAACATCTCTGCTGCTTGCTAAGGAAGTGAGTGTGTTTTCTGGAGCTGCTGCTATGATTGCTGGAGAGAAAGATGATCTAAAAAGTCAGCTGTGAATTTATTGCTGCCCATTCTCCAAGGTAAATAACATTTTCCTTTGTCTGATGTATCCTGACTATTGACCCTGAATCTCCCAAAACTAGACCTTGTAAGTAGGCACTCACTTTCTTAAGGTTGTCTTTCTGTCATTCTTGAGGTTTAAGGAAAGATTTCTTAAATTGTTAGAAAAGCTATTTGAAAAAAAAAAAGGAAAGAAAAGAATGAAATCCTTAGCCTGCAGGTGATCAATTACCCTGGGTGAAAACCCATTTGAAAGTTTTCTCAAATAAGCTGTGGAGCTGGTTTGAATGCTTAAACAGACATGACAGCCCAACTTTCAGGTGAAAGATCTGCTTTGGCTCCTAGGATAAATAGCTGCATTAGCACCACAGGCAGAGAATAACACAATCTCCACCTTGAATATGCTAAATGTCCTCATTATTCAAAAGGCATGCAAACTGGCCAGGTGCTCTGTTTAAATGAAGAGACATTGTGCGAGCCAGCTACGCAAGAGTCAATGACAGGTGCCTCTTGGTTTAAGCAGATTAGTTTTACAGAATGTCTAATTTTCAGATGTGATAAGGCATGGAACTACTTATAAGGCTTATTTGGACAAAATGATCTCAAAGACCTCTTCTACCCTTAGTATTAGCCCATGATTATTTGGACTTGAGGCTGTGTGTATCATGCATCAGAAAGTGGCCTCTACTGGTGAGGTGTGATATTGCAGCCCAGCTCAAGTAGCCACTGTAATAAGAGCAAGCATGTTAAGGGAATACTACATATGATATCAAAATATTTGGTTGAGAATGAAAAGTAAAGGCCAAAATGGCTATGCTGAAACAATCCTTAAATGAGAGATATGCTAAGGTCTGTGGAGTTCTGAAAAGGTGTCAAAACATAAACAGCACATGTTGACTCAACTTACCACAGCTTCCCACATACCAGAGAGAGTAAATGCTGATACCTACACTTAAAATATCTTTGATTCAGTATTTTGAGATATGCACCATATCTAATTTTATAATGGAAAATGATGGAAAGTGATTCGTTTGGTTATATTCTTATACAACCAACTTAAAAATGTTTCTATTGCATGTGACAATCACACTGTGTCCTCTGAGCTTTAAAGCACATACAGTTAGTTTCCAAAGAAAAAAGGCTGATCTGTTCAAGGTACTTTAAAACTTTGAGTCAGAAGGATGAGGTTTGATGCACAGAAACAGCATGTCAGAATTGGGAGGATCTTAGAAGGCTGTCTCACCCAATTTCCTCATTGTACAGATGGAGAAACTGAGGGACAGAGAGGGGTGGTAATGTCCCAATGGCCTTTCAGTGAGAGGCTAACCTAGTAATGAGTAGATTCAAAGCTTATCGCTACCAGCCCCTGGCTCCTTATAATTTCATAGCCCATCACCTGGATTTTCCAATGAAGTTTCTATTTAAATGGACTGCCCTATAATTCCTTGAAAAGATAATTTTCTATTGGAAATTCCATAAGTTCTGCACCAAATGATATTTCCCAGACTTTTCCCTACACTCAGGAAGTGGAAATTGAGGTTATGGGAACATCACAACCTTCTAATCATATTAATCTAGGTAACTGTGTCACCATGATGAGATGGAAGACTAGGCACACAAGAGCACTGGAAGGATAAGCCCATCCCAGCCCACCCTGAACCCTTTTGTAGTCGGAGGAGCAGCTACTGCCACCCAGCCCCCAGAATCTCTTCTATGAGAGAACTTTGGTGCCCTTCAAGAGACAATTAGAGTCATCTTAAGGAAAGCAGAATTACAGGGAATGAGCCTCCATGGACTCCAGGGCTTCTCCCCTCCCAATATCCCTTATGTTCCTCATAATGAATCCTTTCTTTAAACATTACACCCCTCAATTAGCTCATAATTGCTGTCCATGCCATATGAATTATGCATTGTGCAATGCAAATTCAGGTTCCCTGGCACTGGACAAATCACAAGCTGTTGAAGAAGCTGGAGTAATTACCAAAACAATCCCAGGAGCCCTGGGGAAAATGAACATTATCTGGTCGACAGCCCGTTCTTCTGCCTCGCCTCGTCTTCCCCACTTTCAGCCTGGTTCACCCCCACCTCACTCAGCTTCAGTACATAGTTGCTGGGTTTTGAGCAAGCACTGCATGGCAACCAAGGTGCTAGCAGACATATACCATGCTTTAACATTTATATTCTTCACAGTCCTGCGAGGCCGGGGCTACAATTTTACATATCACATGACTTCGCTTGAAATACCCTCTTCTCCTGGAATTTCTGAGTTTCACCAGGCTGGGGCTTGGGTATGGTTCACCTTTGTGGTATAAATGGAAAAGAGGGCTTGTTTCAGCAAGTGACAAATGTCAAGACAAAGGATGGCTTAAAATTATAAAAAGAAGAACAAAGAGGGCACTTTGGAAGCACTCAATGTGTTAATTACAAAGCAAATTACATTTATTAAAACTACTTCTTGAGGACCTCTGAGGCAGGGTTACAATATATATCCAAAAGCATTAAAATCACACTTCTTCCCATATATTCAAATTCGTGCATGCGAATTCTCAGCAGTCTAACCTCTCATGCAATTTTCTCAAATCATTCAGTTAATACTGTACATACACACCATACACACACGTGTGTAGTGATTATATCGAGTTTAATGGTTATATCAACTTTAATGGTAAGAAGAGGACATGTGTCCCATCATGGTTCCCACCTTCCTTCCACCGCCATTTCTAGTTTCTAATTTGGAGAGTAACACGTCACTGCCATTATGCTCATATCTAGGCTGTTTCAATAAGACATATCCAGATTTTTATATCCTAAGCATTTGCAGCAAAACAAATTATTCTCTTTAAGTTCATTCAGCTTATGGAGGTAAATGTTTATCTCCAGCCACTATGAGTTTTTGAGATAAATGTTTAGGCTTGTCTTCTTTGCCCTGGCCATCTTTCATGAAAATCATGCTGTGGTAACTGCTGCTTCAAACTTTTAATTATTTGTGAATTTTCTCATTAATGTATTCATCCTTTAAGTGTTTATTTAGGGCCTATTATGTGCCAACATACTGAGCTAGGAACTGGTGCTGCCAAAGATAAATAAGGTGCACGTCATCTTCTTTCTTTCTTTCTTCTTTCTTTTCTTTCTTTCTTTCTTTCTTCTTTCTTTTCTTTCTTTCTTTCTTTCTTTCTCTCCCTCTCTTTCCTTCCTTTCTCCTGGAGTGCAGTGGTGCAATCTCGGCTCACTGCAACCTCTGCCTCCTGGGTTCAAGTGATTGTCTTGCCTCACTCACCATCCTGAGCATCTGGGATTGCAGGCACCAGCCACCATACCCAGCTAATTTTTGTACTTTTTAGTCGAGATGGGGTTTCACCATGTTGGCCAGGCTGGTCTCAAACTCCTGACCTCGGGTGATCCACCTGCCTCAGCCTCCTAAAGTGCTGGGATTACAGGCATGAGCTACCATGCCTGACTGTGATCTTGTTTCCCAGTAGCTCATTGTCTAGAGATTACAGAAGGCCACTTTAGCTTGAACCATTTACATGTGTTTAAGGTTCAATAAAGTAAAGGACTCTGAAGTGGCAGGCTTGACTTCAAGTCCCAGAGGCATTACTTACTAATTTTATGATAACTATAAGGCTCAGTTTCCTCATCTGTAAAATGGGAGTAAGTTACCGTATAAATATGTGGTGTGATGAACATTCTTTGCATAGCATTTTAGAATCCTTTTATGCTTTCTGAAAGACATGCATGTACAAACTTGAATTTTTACTTAAAAAAATGAACAAGCAAACACTGGTTTGAAATGAATACTGACATGGAACGGATCCCAGGAATTCCTTTTTTCTCCTGATCTCTGTCCAAGGACAAGTCACCTGTCTTGTCTTATTCCCACTCTCTTCATCGGACAAAAGGTGAAATTGAACAAGTGGCCTTTAAGGTAGCTTTGATATTGAAAAGTCAACGATTGTATTTGTAGGTAACAAATCATAAACCCCTCTGGTGGTCTTGCTATCAGCAGGAAATATGATTGGGGTCAGCCCAGCGGGGTGGGAGGAGGGTTGTGATGGGTGGGCGTTGCCTAGCGGTTCATGAGTGATGTGTCCAAGAGAGGCGGCAAGAGAGGGAGCCGAGGCCAGGCGTCGAGAGACATAAGATCATGTATCAAACTTGATGGGTGAAACAGAGTTTAAATAGAAGACCAGCATCACAGTTGGTAGCACAGGAGCTCAAGAGATGGCTGCAGGGCCCAGGCAGATGAAGCCTGTCTCTTCGCATGGAAATTTGCTCATTCATTCACTCATCCAACAAACATTTCCTCAGTGCCTACTTAGCCAGTCCACGCAAAGCGTTTGGCAGGTAGCCTGAGCAAATAGTCACGGCCCTTGTCCTCATGAGGTTGACAGTCTAGTGGGAGAATCAGACATTTACAAAGAACCACTTAGGGGCTGTATAATTATCAGTCCTGCTGATTGCTCTCACAGACTATCCCAGGCTGTCCTAGATCTAGTCTTCTGTCAGGGAACCAGTTTGGGAGAAAGTGACATATAAGCTGGGATAGAGAGGATGCACTGGAATTAACTAAGTCAAGTCGAGGGAACAACTTCCATAAATGACAGGTCCAGTGAGACTCTATTGTGTATAGATTTTGGTGTTTCCAGCTTAGAGTGGGAAGGAGTGGAGAAATTCCTTAAAAGGGCTGATCAAGACAGAAATATGACACATTTTGCTTTCAACAACAAATGAGCTTATATACAAATATACACAGAGCATCAAAATATTTATTGTATCAAAGTGTCCGAGACCGCTGGAGCAATGACTGTTTCTTGTGGAGAAAATCAGGGTTGATCCAAGTTCTTGCTTTTCATGAGTGGGCTCTCCCAGCGTTTTACGGGCAGCGGGTGAGTCGTTCTTCCAAACCGAAGCTAGACATGAGCCCTGGTTAGCCTTAAATGGACTCTCTCCCCATATTTCCTCTCTCTGCCCATGACCCTTCCTAAGGGACACTGTTTCACTGCTCATGAGAGGATAGAAG